ACAATTACACTCATTTCACACGCTAGCAAGGTTATGCTCAAAATCTTACAAGGTAGGCTTCAGCAGTATGTGGACCGAGAACTCCCACAAGTACAAGCTGAATTTCAAAGGGGCAAAGGAACCAGATACCAAATTGCTAACATGCGCTGGATAAGGGAGAAAGCCAGAGAGTTCCAGAAAAACATCTACTTCTGCTCCATTGACTACGCAAAAGCCTTTGATTGTGTGGACCACAGCAAACTATGCCAATTTCTTAAAGAAACGGGAGTGCCTGACCACCTTATCTATCTTCTGAGAAATTTATATGTGGGACAGGAAGCAACAGTTAGAACTGTATTCAAAATTAGGAAAGGAGTACGACAAGTCTGTATATTGTCTCCTTGCTTATTTAACTTATATGCAGAATATATCATATGAAAGGCTGGACTCGATGAATCCCAAATCAGAATTAAGATTGCCAGGTGAACCTTAGATATGTAAATGATACCACTCTGGTGGCAGAAAGTGAGGAGGAATTAAAGAACCTCTAAATGAGGGTGAAAGAGGAGAGTGCAAAAAATGTTCTGAAGCTCAAGATCAAAAAAAAACCAAGATCATGGCCACTGGTCCCATCACATCCTGGCAAACAGAAGGGGAAGATAACTGAGGCAGTGACAGATTTTACCTTCTTGGGCTCCATGATCACTGCAGATGATGACAGCAGTCATGAAACTAAAAGACACCTGCTTCTTGAGAGAAAAGCAATGACAAACCTCGACAGCATCTTAAAAAGCAGAGACATCACCTTGCCGACAAAGGTCCGCATAGTCAAAGCTATGGTTTTTCCAGTAGCAATGTATGGAAGTGAGAGCTGGACCATAAAGAAGGCTGACCGCCGAAGAACTGATGCTTTTCAATTGGGTTCTGGAGGAGACTCCTGGACTGGAAGGAGAACAAACCTATCCATTTTGAAGGAAATAAACCCTGCATGCTCACTGGAAGGACAGATCCCTGAAGCTGAGGCTCCAATAATTTGGCCATCTCATGAGAAGAGAAGACTCCCTGGAAAAGACCCTGATGTTGGGAAAGTGGAGAGGTAAGAGGAGAAGGGGACGACGGAAGACAAGATGGTTGGACAGTGTCATCGAAGCTACCAAAATGAATTTGACCAAACTCTGGGAGGCAGTGGAAGATAGGAGGGCCTGGCGTGCTCTGATCCATGGGGTCATGAAGAGTCGGACATGACTTAACTAAACAAAAATGATGTTGCGACACATAGGAATAAGTATCAACTAACTAAGATGTCTCTGATTACAGTAAATTCCTAATTGTGTGCAGAGTCATATAAATGGTGTGCTACTAGATATTTAATCAGGGACTTGCTAATTTGTGGCTATTTGCTGCTTGGATTATGCCACTGCCCTTACACAATTTTAACTATTTAACTGGATTATGGCCTGTGTCAGAAATTCCTAACAATGCTTAGCAAATTAATCCTCAATGGCAGATTACTTTCTCCACTGGAAACTCTTGCAAACCACCCATGTGTATGCCCTTCCTATAAGTCCCTTTGCTGCCCTTCTGAATTTGACTGTGATTTTGGTGGCTGGTTTTTCAGATTCCCAGTGATTTGGCTGAAAGTAACAAAACAGCAGTGCTTAGTTAATTGCACACACAATCACTGACAGGGAACACAGCAGTTATAAAGTATTTATTCCTTCCTGAAGATTTTTCTTTTCCCTTAGCCCAGATGATGTGTTCCATTTAAAAGTCATTAATAATTAACAGTTTTAATTTAGGATTGTTCTATTTAATGTTTGACAGATTCCTCATACTCCCCCCTCTACCTCGAACAGAACACAAAGTATAGACCAGAGTTCTTTAAATCATCATTGTTATCTTATGCAACTATGTAGTGGCATGTTCCCTTGTGATACTCTAGGTTTCAGATAATAATCCCCAACCTATATCAAAACTTATTTTAAATTTTTTTTAAAGCAACACAAGATAAAAATTTTAAAAGTCAAGAGCTGTGAACGAAATGGTAAGAGATCAGACAACTAGGCTGGAATAATTTACAGCATTTGTTTACCCTGTTTCCCCGAAAATAAGGCAGGGACTTATATTAATTTTTGCTTCACAAAATGCATTAGGGTTTATTTTCAGGAGATTTTTTTTTTAGGTACAACAATCTACATTTATTGAAATACAGTCATGTCATCTTCTTCTGGTTTGTTTGTTTGTTTGTTAGTTTGTTTGTTTATTTATTTATATCCTGCTCATCTAGTCAAATCGACCACTCTGAGCGGCTGGTTGCTGCACAATGGTGGAGGGCAGGGTTTCGCTTAACTGGGGCTTATTTTTGGGGTAGGATTTATATTACGAACAACTTGAAAAATCATACTAGGGCTTATTTTCAGGTTAGGTCTTATTTTCGGGGAAACAGGGTGAGTGTAGAGAGATGGACCCTAAGAAAGGAGAGTGAA